TTTTTGCTTTCGGGATGGAAGTTTTTTTTATTGATTCTTTCTTTTTTTCTTTGCTCGTATTAGAACTTTTTTATTGCGATTCGAATTGAAAAGTACCATCTTTTTTTTGGTCGCTTAATTTATTAAAAATTGAGGAGTTATTTTTATTTTTATTTTTTGTTTTTTGTTTTTGTTGCTGCTGCTTTTGTTGTTGCATATTTTTTGCTTGGTGTTCATTAGGACCAACCAAATAGCTGATCAGAAAACAGCAAATTTGTAAAGAACAGGTTTTCCGCTCTACAGTTATTGGTATTCCCGGACGAAAATTTGGGATTGAGCTTATTTATGTGTCAGATTAAGTTTTAAAAGTATTGTAATGATTTCTTTGATTTTCTACCAATTATCAGCCGTCTATGAGTAATGTTGACTAGCTGAGGTCTCTATGCCATTTTTTTAAATATACTGAGTGTTGATTTTATGACAAGTAATTGCTGGATTTGTATCACGTGACTGCTTTGGTGTTAATTAATTTATGACACTTTAAAGAACAGTAAAAATTAGCATATTTTTTCAACTGTTTGAAAAGTTGAACCTTCTCGTCTCTGTCGCATACTTAACCTGTTGTCATGATGTATTCGCTAACGACTTTGCAGGTTCATGAGCCATTTTTATTTTGCCAAAGGATCTAAGGCTAATATAGATGTATCATTCTTTTCTTTTATTTTTAGGTTTTAGTGTAGGAACAGTATCGAAAACGGGAACGTATTTGCAAAACACGTGATTATATCATTCATTTGTTGCGAGAATAGAATGCTTGGGGTAAGGATTTTTTTGGAAGGTGTGTCACTGGCTTTTGGGACTAAAATCTTACTGTTAATGGTTAGGGTTCTAAATCATTGTCTGGCTTTTAAAGGTCTGTGATTTTTCAGAAAATGTGTAATGATTTCAGGACATTTTTCAAATAATTTTTTTTAAGAAAAACTTTTTGACGAGTCGAAGCCTACCTATTTTTATTACAACCGTCAAGTATTCAAAGACTTGTCGTTGCAACATTCTTCTTTAGTTTATTTTTATGTTTCAAGTTGATTTGGGTTAAATAGATTTTGGTCATGGTATGTTTTCAGAATGATAACTGTTATTCCTTTGATAAAGAGTGGAAGGAGGCTAGAAAGACCATTGTTTCACTCTTATATCAACAGGTATTATGATCTTGAACGCTCTTCTATTACAATTTTCTTTTTTGTTTTGTACTTTTTCAAAACTGTAAATCAGTTGTGTTTTCAATCGTGAGAGTCAGAATTGAAAGCTAACACTGTTTACCGTTTTCTTCGACACGCTGCTTGTTGCATTTAAAGTTGTTGGAGTCTTTTCAGAATGTGAGCAAGTCGCAGTGGCATGAACTGTTCAGTATTATTCACCGGATCTCTACCTGGGTAGAAGACGGTAATGAATTAGTTCGTCGAAAACTTGAGCAGGAAGTTCGTGATTATGTTGTTGGAGCCAGTGAGGTTTGTTTATTGACATTCAAAAGTTTGTGGGGTGAAAGGAATGGCTTTTATTCACGTTATTATTGGTAATTGTCATGCTCAAATATACTGAATTTCAGCGTGTTCAACGCCATCAAGAAGAGAGCGCAGTTTTAAGAGCGTATATTAGTGAGTGGAAGAAGTTTCTTATTCTTATTGAGTATCTGCCAAAACCTTTTTCTTTTATTTATGAAGGGCAAAGTAATCACTCCTCGATATCGAAAGCGAATAAAACAAAAAAAATTTCTCCAGCTGTTACAACTGTAAGTTCATCGATTTCGTTTTATATTTGAGGTATAAGAGGCAGCAGTATATTTTACGCATTCAGATGATGTTGCACGACTGGAACCGAATAATCTTTGAAAAAATTAAAGACAAGCTACAGATTGCTGCTATGAGAATAGTAGAGTCTGAACGAAATGGGGAGTCATTTGATCCTCAGCTAGTTATCGGCGTTCGTGAATCGTATGGTCAGTGAATACGTGTTTGGCTTCGTTTTCTTTGTATTATTTTTCAGAACATTTTTTCTTGCTTTCATTCTTCCCATTTTAACATAAAGGTTTTTGTGTGGATGTAGTTTTTGTTGGGTTGTTGCCAATTGATGAAAGTATAGTTTTTAGTTTCCTTGAATTTGGACGATGTTGATCCGTTATCTGTTTATAAATCTAATTTTGAACGACTATATATTGAAACTACTAAGAAGTATTATAAAGCACGAGCAGCTCAGGTAACCTATTAGTAGGTTTTCTGTTTGTCTTTCCAAGTTTTTTAAGTTTACAGTTTTTTGTTGCTGTAGGTCTTAGAAGCTAATGGCGTTCAAAGTTACATGGTTTATGCTGATACAAAACTAGCTGAGGAAAAAGCGAGAGGGATGCGATATCTCGAGAGTTCTTCTGATTCATTAGAAAAGGTTTTTTTGTTTTTGTTGTTTTATTATTTTTATCACTTTTTTAAAGTCTATTTCGTATGTTTTAATGTGGCAGAAGTGGAGCATTTTTTAGAAACTGGGTATCAGTTAGAATTTGCTGTTTGATTTTTGTGAAGGGAATCATAGCTTATGGATAGAAGTTGGGGATACATGAGTTAATGATGTATACTTGAAATTCCTTTAAGTTTAACAGCGTCACCAAAATTTTAAAATTATTTTTCGGTAAGAACTTTGCCTTCTATGTATCTCGTTGCATTCGAGTTCTTCCAGTTGGATGGCTTTGTTCTACTCTTTGCTTATTGCCAGCATCTTAAGTCAGTTTTTTTTAACTCAAGACTCAAGACTTCAAAAGAAATTTGCTTATTTATTAATGCGTTCAGCTTTTTGACTGTTGTTTACAGTCCTCTATAGAGGAAATGTAAATAAAGTTGTGTTAAGAAAAGTGATACTTGCGCTTCTTTTTTAAACTTACTGAGTGGTAGGCAAAAAAGTTTGTTTTTGCTTCTCAAAAATTGTCATTTTTTTCTCAAGTCTAGAAGGGTACTTTAGTTAAGCGGTTTAACTGAAATTGCCTTTATTCAGAGAAAACTTCTACCGTACTGCATAAATTGACAAAGTTTCCCGACCTGATTACTATGTCTTTGGATACAGTGCCATGCCGAGTCTGAAAAATGTGTGCTTCTCATGAGTCTAAAAACACTTCATGTAGAATTTCTGTATAAAACTTCCGTGCAACGCTTCTTGTACCTTTTCTTTTATCTCTTACGCACAGATCTCATTCTCTTCTCAAAAACAAATCTTATATTAGGCTTGCGTTTGCATTTTTACTATTTGAAGCCACAATCCTATTTTAGAAGCGAACATTTGAGTTGTTTGTTTAAATGAAGGCAAATTTCGAACTGGACGGAAAAGTTTAAAGGGTAGGTTGGGCTTTCAGTATCAGAATGAAAAACTTTATGGATGTACCAGTAACATGGAAGATGTTTCTGAAAAGTTTGCAGAGTGAGCAATTTTTATAAATAAGCACTTAGGTTAACTAATTAACTGGCAGAATCGTATCTTTCAATTTCTGTGAGTGTTTAATTTCAGTTATTGAACAGTTGTGTTTCCGTTTTGGTCGTTCAGTTTCAAGAACAACTTCTTGCAGAATGCCCAGTAATGATAAGCACAAATCAGATTGAAAGTAAGTTAAGCAATCGTTAACCTGGAAATGTAGATTTTATTAGCAAAATTAGCCGAGTCTTTAGTCTTATTGGATCTGTTTTTCCTTTGACACATTTACCTTCTTTTTTTTCTTTTACTGGTTTTTTTAATCACGGTTTTAGAAGTTTCCTACTGGTACAGTTCTTGTAGAAGAATTCTCAAAATATTCTTCTTATAAAATTTTAGAACTGCGTATGTTACATCGTCTTTTAAATGGTACCCCAGAGGGAATAAAATCTGTTTTGAATTACCTTGGGACTTTCGTCAAAAATGAAGCTATGTTAGACATGAAAGCAAATGCGAACACTATTACTACAGTATGTGCTTTTTTTTTAGAATAGCTTATAATCTCTTGCTTTAATTTTTGTGGAACATTTAGTTTATTCTACATCTAGGGTTGCTGTTGGTATTTCATGTTGTTGGTGTAATAATGCAAATTACTCTGCGGTTTTAATCCTTTTAATTTGTTTGTTTGTTACATTTTGCTCTTATATTACCTATTTTACTGATGGGAAAATTTGTTAAAGAATCCCAACGAGTTTTAAGTAGATTACATACATTTTTAGAAGCCCGGTTTTGGGGGAGGGATTTTCTGGATTTCTAAATTTCAATTTTTAATTCGTTTCTGAAATTAACTATTTTATCTCTGGAGACATTTGTGCGAAGCTTAAATGATTTTAATTTCCACCAAACTCCAATATTTTCTATGGTATTTGGAAAATATATAAAGTGATAAGATTCAGCAAAATAGTTAGTTTTCTTCAAATTCAGTGAATTTTCCAGATATTTTCACTAATAAAGTTTTGAATTATACCATAATTTATCAGGGTAGAGAATCTTTGAACGATTTTTACTCTTGCATCAGAAAAGTAGAAGTTTTTTATTTCAGACTGATTCCAATTTACAGTTATTTTTTCTCTGAAACAGTTGGAATAATATGATCGATCTACTGTAATTCAAAGTGTGGCGTGTCTTGTAGTTCAGACTATCTTTGACCTATTTGGGCGCTAATTTAGGATCCTGAAAAATACGTCGACCAGTTGTTGTCTATGTTTTCGCGATTTAGCAAGTTGGTTAAAGAGGCATTTTACGACGATCCGTGTTTTCTAACGGAAAGAGATAAGGCTTTTCAAGAAGTTGTGAATGACACTTGTATTTTTAAAATGGAAATAGCGAATTCTAAATCAAAGTTAGTGGTTGTCATACTTTTTTCCAGTTCTCTTTGTTTACCACAGTTTGCCAACTGTTATTGCACAGTAATTTTCTATTGAAAATTTGATGGTTATTTCAGTTTACTCCTCACCACTTGATTGAATATTCTCTTTAAATGCTATTTCATCTTTTTGTTTGCTGGAAACGGCATTGAAAAATCTAGAATTTGAAAATCTTAATTTTTTTCTCTATAATCTTTTCCTCTTTTCTTTTTTTTCTTTTTCTTGATTAATTTTACAAGTTTCCCGACTTTATTATCTTTTATTATTCTAGAATTTTGCTCTTTAGAGGTACTAGAGTGCAGGCAGAATCGAGATGTCCTGAGCTGTTGGCTAATTACTGTGATTTGTTGTTAAGGAAAACTTCTTTATCAAAACGATTGTCTTCAGAAGAAATTGATGCAAGGCTAAACGATGTGGTTTGTTTTTGAGGCAATCAACTTTTTGTTTTATAACAAGCCGATGCATTTTTTCAGCTTGTTTAATTTTAAATTTACTTTTCTAGCTACTCGTTCTGAAGTACGTGAACAACAAGGACGTTTTTATGCGTTTTCACAAGGCGCATATGGCTCGAAGATTGATTCTTGAAATGAGTGCAGATCAAGAGAAGGAAGAACATATGGTTACGAGGTTGTCAAAAACTTTTTTAATTTTGTGAAAGATTTTAACCAAGTCATTTCTCTTTGACGCAATAATTCGGTGTTTTAGGATGCGTGATGCAGGTATGCCAGCAGATCTTGTTAATAAGCTTTTCCGTATGTTGCAAGATATAGAAATTAATAAGGATCTCAACAGCACTTTTAAGACCTCAATCGGTTCAAATAACAACATGATGGCAGGTATTATCTTGGGTCTTATCTTTTACTGAAGTTCATAATTGTTGTAATACAATTATTAACTCAACAGCTTTAAATTGAATTATTTGGATTGGTTTGATATACAATCCGCAAAGTGGCCACTGGGAAATGCGAAGGTCAGTTCAGGGCTGAGGGGTAGGGCGGACATATGCTAATAGGTTGGTAGAATGTTATATAGTCACTTTTTGAATTTATGTTTGTGAACCAACAATTTTTCTATAACAGCGACTGTCTTTCACATACTGGTAAAGGCTATGCTTGTCTTTTTCTTGGTTGAAAAAAGTTTATTTTCTATTTCATAGTGGTTTTCAGAAAGCTTAATATTATTTTTGGGATTAACTTTGGTTTGGAAACTTAGTATTTGTGCTGAAGTCCCAAATTTAAAATTGAGTAAAACTAAAGGGCAGTAACTTTTTGCCAAAAGTAACAGTGCAGTACTGGCTTTATCAACAAGTTTGATGACATAGGTACATTTTAAGCCTGTCAATTGGATTTTAAGGACGTTTTGTTTTGTATTGAATGGATTTAAACATTAAATTTAGAAATGTAGAAGTTAACCTCATGGTAGAAAATTTTTCACTGCTTTTAGCTAGCTGAATGGTAATCTTTAAAGTTAATAATAAATACTTATTTTACATACTCTTTTATTAAAATTATGAGGAAAAAAAGTTCTATGTTCTTTAAATTCTTGTTGAGTCTATTGTGTATCTAGTGTTTAGTATGACGCTATAAGTTTTGGTTTCTTCTTTGAAGCTGTTTGCTAATTTTGCTTTTTTGACGTTTTTTTTATATAACGCGTATGCATTTCAAAATATTCAGAAGAGTAAAATTAGATTTAGGTGCTTTTTGGGATTGTCATTTTTTAAGACGATGAAGTTGGAAAAAGAAAGGCACCATTGTGCAAATGCCTCTCTTTCCTCATCATTATTCAAATAAAATTCTTTATGGTTCTGATTTCAGAAACAATATCAATTAAAATTTTGAATGCCGGTGCATGGGCTCGTGGTAATGAACGAATACAGATGCAGGTTCCCCGTGAACTTGAGGATTTTATTCCAGAAGTTGAAGAATTTTACCGCAAACAACATTCTGGAAGAAAGTTGCAATGGTTATACCACTGGTCGCATGGGACGGTGAGAATTACTTATTGTATATGGGGCTTTTACTGTAACTTATCTATGTGACTAGAATTGCAGCATTTGAGTAGAACGAGATTTATTGATAAGGTAACAGGGTAAATATTCTAGATAACATTCAGTAACGCGATGGGAAAATATGATCTTGATGTAACCACACTCCAGTACTCAGTATTAAACTGTTGGAATGATCGTCCTACCGAGAAACTTTCTTTTGAGAGCATTCGGATTGCTACGCAACTACCAAACGCTGAATTAACTCGTGCGCTGTTTGTGAGTTTAATATTTGGAGTTAATGTTTCAAGTGGTCGCTGAGTAACAAAGCAAAGAAAACTTTTGTTTTATTGCCTTTTGCTTATTTTTTTTTATTTCCTCATCGTTTATTCATCTTTTTGAAATTAATGGCGAACTTTTTTCACTTTGGTTACATAATATTTTTCAGTCTTTAGTAGCATTTCCGAAGCTACGACTGCAAGTCTTATGCACAGATTGTGAGCAGCTTAATCCACGTGATTTTAACGACTCGACTCTATTTTGGATAAACCAAAAATTCGCCGTTGTAAAGGTAATATTGGAACGTTATTTGTTTTCATCTTTTTAAAGTGACCTTAATTACTGCGCTTGGTTTTCAAGCGCTAGATCTCAGGTTTTTCTTTTTGGTAGTAGAAATTTTTGTTCTTTTATTTAAAACTGTTAGTTTTTATATTCGGTTAAGTCTTTGGCTAGTTTTGTTTGTTTTCTCCTAATCTCCTAATGGTTTTCTTTTTTTTTTTGCATTCAGGGGCAGTTATATCAGTACCTTCTACACATATTTATTTGTTAAAAAGTTGTTGCTTCAAAGAGGCTTGGGTATGAGATTGCAAGTATTTTTTAGTGGTCTATATATAAACAAATTTTTTAGAATGGCAGGGAACAAAGTAGAGGGCGTTTAAATTTAATAGGTCGACTACAGTTGTCAACTGAAGCGAACAACCAAGCTGAGCATGACGATATTGTTGCTCTAAGAGTTCTCCGCGTACAAGAAGCTATTGTAAAGGTACTAGGTTCTTTTTCCAAACTGTTTTTTCGTTTATTTATTTATTTGAAGTTTCTACCAGATATTTTTAGCTAATGAAAATGCGCAAGAGGTGCCAAAGTGCACAACTTCAAACTGAACTCATTGAATTACTAAAACATATGTTTTTACCATCGAGGAGATTAATTAAAGAACAAGTAAGATTTTTTTGGTTACCGTTAAATAAATTTTTATTTCTAAAACAATGTGGTGAAGAATAGGTTAAGGGTTCAGCCTTGAAAAAATTGATTAGGCTTTGATGTTTGTGAGGTCGCCTTATTTCAGATCGAATGGTTGATCGAGAATCGGTTTATTGCAAGAGATGAAAAAGATTTGAATACTTTTGTATATTTAAGTTGAATTGTTTGGTAACAAGTACTGATCAGCTGGTTTTATTTTAAGCCTTCTTTTACTGCTTTTCAAAGCACTGTCTGGAAAAGTTTGTTCCTGTTTTGATTTGGAAAGTTTTTGGGTAGAGGGCAGCAGGTTCATAATTGCAGTTTCGTTTTTTTTTGCTAGTCCTCAGTCGCTTGAATTTGTCAGGTTGTTCCACATAACTTGTACAGTACTAGTTACCGTCTTTTTTTGTTCAACCTAGTCTTCCTCAGCGGGTAATTTATATTTTAGAGAAGATTGTTAGCTTGTATTTCAATTTTAACTTATGTTGTTTATAAGTGCCTTTTTTACTTTTAAATATGCCTCAACGTATCGGTTGTAAGCCGTAGTTTCATGCATTTACAAATGTTCACGAATAAAAATCTGATGAAGCTTCGGGTAAGTTTTTGCATATTTACGTTGTAGTGACTAAGTTTTAAATTGTAATTGTACTGCATATGTGAATTATGTCTCCCTGACAATAAAATGACTTTATGGAGATGCTACCGTGTGGGCCTTTCCTTGAGTTCTTAAACGGTGTTTAAAGCCGTATTGGATACGATTGAAATTTGTTTACAGCCATCTGATTCTGTTCTCTTTTTTTTTGGTAAATTTTTTTCAAATCTGTATTTTTGAATAACTGTGCTGTTTGAGAAATGGGTGATTTGTCTTCTTTTGACGCGGTATTGGAAACGGCAGTCGCATCTGCCATAGCTTCTATCAGGAATTTGTCGTATGAGCAGCTGAATGAAATGCTTAATGACGATTCGAAGATTAATTCGTTGGTCGACACCGTGCCTCAGGTGCCTTGTTAGTTTTCTTTTCTGGTAGTAAGTTCTTTGTTTATTTTTTTGCTTGGTCTAGGTATCTTTCTTGCCAGAGCAAAGGGACCTCTGCTCCGCTCAAAACAAATCTTTGTCAGAATATAATTTGTCGCAAGAGCCGCAGTTGGAAGCAGCAAAGATGAAACTGCTGAAAACCTATGAGGAAACAAAAAAGCTCAAGGAAGAAGTTACGGAGTTGAAACAGAAACTTGGTTAGTCATTAGTCTTTGAATGTTTTGCATTTCGAATTAACATTGGTTAGTTTTTGGAGGGTGGTCATTTGCGCGTTAAAACTACTATGGTTAGTCATCGCTTCTTCCTTGTGCTTCCTGTCTTACTGGAGTAAAAATAATGCTTTATGACCAATTATTTTTTAGCTTAGTAAATAACAAGAGGACGATTTGGATTAGTTTTTGACATTGTTAACTGGAAGTGTTTTAATTTTGCTGATTTACTTAGATTCCCTATCAGAACAAAGATCTCTGGATACTCTAAGTGCTGTGCTGCAGGCTTCTGCTCAGAGTGCGGACGATGAGAGTGATGTTGGTTTTTTACAGAGTAATAAATGCTCTTTGTATTATGTTTAATTTGATTGTAATTGAGGTTATTTTGGGTGTTAAAGGTTTTTACATTAATTGTTCAGGCAATTGTCGAGCAGTATTTGGGATCAGAAATCGAAGTTGAACCTTTTCTTGATAAATTCATCGAGAAGAAGACATTGGCTCACATGAGGTTTGCATGTTTTGCTTGCTGTTTTTACTAGTACACTGATCCACCACAAATCTTTTTTTAGAAAAATTAAATCTGAAAAATTGTTGGCGTTACTGAGGCAGCAAAGATATCCCGCGATGAAAACATCTATGAGTCATTCAAAGGGGTATAAAGGAATGAGCACAAGTTGCTCTGCGGGTACGCCTTATCCATCACAGTATACTGGCGGTTATCCTCAGCCACCGATGCCACAGCCTCGTCATTCATTTTACTAGTTGTCATCTTCAACGAACAATTCATACTTTTTTCCGATGTCGATGCCGTTCAAAGTCTACCGTTGTATTGCCATGTTTTTGTGCTTTTTTTATGCTGAGAAACTTCTTTCACGTTCACATTTATTTGCTACTGAACTTCTGTGATGCATCTCTTGTATAATCTTTATTTGTATTTCAGCTAACATATTTTTTTTTTCTGGATAATACGGCTGAAGCTAGAGCATTGTAAATCTTAAGTTACTTAATAAAGTGAACGTCATATTAGGCTTCAGAGAAGATACTTGTTAAAAGTGATTTTTCTTTTTGCCACTGAAAGCTTCTGTCTTTGCTTCTGCTTTGCGTTCTTGTCACCTTATCAAATGAATTTTATAAATGTATTGTTTTTACTTTTAGCCACCAACTTGTGTTGTATATTAAATTTTCTGTATGTGTTTATGTGGTATACAATTGAGCTGTTACGCTTAAACTACGCGATGTTCCTTATTTTTGTACAAGGAAACGTTTTCGTTTGTATGTAATTATTGCCGATTTTGATGAGGTTCTCAAGCAGTGAGTTTGTTTTTTCCCTTATTGGAAGGTTTCATGTTGGTAACTTCGATTATTAGTTTTAATAACACATTTTGAAGTCAAAGTTGCTTTGGCGAAGAGGATTTTTTCATATATTTTAAAACCTTGGTTTTTTTTTTTGAAACAGTATTCCTTTGTAATTATTTCTTGTTTGCTGTTGGAAAATCGTATGTGATAAAGACATAGTTGCTGTGAGTAACAGTTTAACTTCTTGTTTTTGGAAATTAGGTTAGTTGCTGTGTCTTTTCAATAATTTTCTATTTAAAAAGTCTAAGTTGGACAGGGTAAACTTAATTTAAGCTTAAATCTTCATTGTAATTTCTGCTGGATTAAAAGTTTAACACCGTGATCATTGGGTATCTGATGTTTTGGGTTTTCTAGCTTATTTTTCTTCTGCATTTCAGTGCTATTGACATGTGTCTATTTTTTTCTTTTTGGTATGCACTTTTGCAGTCGATTTGTTTTTGGTTGAGGCAAAAAGCGGACAAGTAGTTTAAAGCTGTTTTTCTTTCAATATAAGTTATTTTTTGGTTAATAAATTTTAGTTATGAATTTGTTACGGTTTTGGAATTGCAAC